AACTGTTTCAATGTGTTTGCCTGAAGACATAACATATCAAAGCCTTGAATAAAACTGGAACCTGTGATTGCTGTTCAATATAGCTGTGTTTATAACTAAAGCTAGAAAATTACTACTACTAGTAATACAGGCGTTCAGGTGTTAAAACTATTCAGATTGATTGTATGTAAAGTTGAGAAGGAGAGTATTATTGTATCGTAACACAAGGCCTATAACACCTGCCTCTATCACAGATCTTCCAACATGCATGAACACAACTTTCAGCTTCTGTTTATATTCCACATTAAAACAGGTATGGAAGAGCTTCAACAGATCTCATTTCAGAATAATCTTTAAAGATGCTGTTGATGAAAATTGGGTGGTTCTACTACTATGACAACTGAGATTGGTATTGGAATAAGGTGGGTATATAAGAAATTTCTATCGTCATGGAAACAGCTCAGTTTTAAAAAAAAGACACCACACTATTTCCTTCTAGAAACAAATCTTTTTCAGAATTAAACCTTTAGTCCTTGAAGTAAACGACTTGCCACTGCAAGTACTTCCGCTATTCTGGCTGGTGTATCCAAATACCACTTTTCATTATGAAATACTTACTCACTTATGATTGATATAAAGTTCATTAGCTGCTACCAATATTTCATCAATACGGATTTTTGGTTTCATTTTGCTTTTCGGATCGTTAGTTTGGTTATGGTTGATTTATGTAAGTGATAAGCATAAGACCATCATAATTTCACCGTTTATACTCACCGAATAATGATAGGCAAGTAATAATGAGAAACAATATGGCAACAACAGAATGTTATGGTACTGACACCTGTTAACGAGAAAAACCACTACACCTTTTCTTCCCTTCAACCTTCACCTGAAATCATTGATCTTTAAACCCAGGTGATCAATCTGGTCCACAGACTGTATTCTGTTTAGTTTTAACCCACTTCATCTGGTTTTGTATTTTACTGTTTTAGTGGTGTTTCTATGAATCATTTGGTGAAGAGGGAGAGGGGGGTGGGGGTTTGGGCCACAGAATTGTCAAGGGAGTCTCACAAATATATCTTTTCCCATGTTCAATCAGAAGAAATTTGAAAGTGGGAGAACTAAAGCGAGGCCAGCTTCTTTTCTGTGCCATTCAAAAACACTAAAAACTTCATCAAACTTCCTTACATTAAAGACGAACATTTACAATTTGACAGTTACCAGGAATATTTCAAATACAGCATAAAACAAGTTACAGAAACCCCAAATGCAGCTGAAAACACTGGCAGACCATTTATATTCAAAATACAACATGTCATCACTGTCCATAATGTTTATATCAAAAATACTAACAATTATAATTCAACAAATACCAAGAATGTTCAAAAACTCATCATAATACCACATCAAGAATAAAACAAAGCTGAAAACACAGGCAGATGTGATGAAAGAAATATCTATAAATAAACTATGGTTCTAACAAAACAGAAGAAAAAGTCTAGAATTCATCTGGTTTCAATAATATAATTGTAAATAATTACAAACAAATAAAAACTCATCTAATATAATATAAAATAAATACAGAATTATGTTGGGGTAATTTGGGAATATGTAGGGTTAATTTGGCAGTATGTAGGGTTAATTATGGAGTAAGGAGGGTTAATTATTAGGGTTAATATTGATGTATTATATCTTAATCAACTGTTAATAACTTCACAGTAATGGTACATAAACTAACACCTTCCTTTCAACCTAGCAACTCTTGAGTCAATCAACTTCTGTTCCCAATTACTTTGATATTGAGACCATCTTCATACCCCAACCCCACACACACCCTCCCTCACACCCACACACCCACACACACACGAACAAGACAATGTAAAAACAGTAGCAATCACTTCCTACTCTCATGTTTAAAGGAACACCTTCACTATCCATTCGACCAATCATATCTTAGTTTCAGATACAGAATTTTTTAATCTAACATAATCAGTAATAGTCTTCACAGCTCATTGTCGAAATTTTAGCCTTCAAATCCATGTGTTTGAAAGTTAAATATTCGACTCGAATTTTAGTGAGAATATGCCATATAGAAAACACATATATAGGAATAGACAGTGAAATTTCTAGTTTGAGGTATATTTGAAGGGATTATGCGATTTTTGTGCGTTTTAGTACTTCTTAAGGCTATTATTAAACCATTGGTCTTGCAAATATTCTTCAATGCAAAGAGTATGACTCTGCCATCTACCAAGGAGTATAAAAATAAAAATAGCGCATGAAGGAACATCACAAGTAAATAACATGTTCTAATGATGATAGCTACACCTATTCTGACCTCATATTACTACAAGTCAATTGTTTATTATTTATAGCCTACAGTAAAATAAACATTCATGTCTTTAGGTGCCAAGAAAAACTGAGCACCAGTCAAATATGAAATCATTAATCATACAGAATGGAGGAAGTATTTTTACTATTCCAGAAACGACAATCACTACTAATGTCAATGATAAGATCATGCTGTTTCCATATAAGCACTGGTCCAGGAATTAGAAATATGAGACCATCTTATAGATGAGATATTATCTAAGACATCACCTTTCTGTTGGCATTTCTCTACTACAAACAAATAAACAAAACCCAAAACAGAAAGGGAACTTCCATAAAACAAATATATAACATACTCAAGACCCTTTTATAAGATCTTAAAGATGATTGAAGCTGTTACTTTCAGCTTATAACTAACTCATTCAGTCAAGGTCTTAACGCTAAGCTCTCCTGCTCCAAGAAAGGCAGGACGCACAACTCCATTCATTTCACTTAGTTTAAGCTTGAACAGTAATTAATACACGTATATCTGAGAGAGTTTTCAGTATTTTCATTTTCATATGCCAAATTTCACAAAATCTGTAGCAATTTCTTAACAACCTGAAAATAAGCTTGACTCACTATAGAAATAGACAGTATTCTGTGACATTTTATATTAATCTATAATCAACTGAAATAAACTGGCCTAATCAACTAGATATTGATTCAATATCTGATCAAATATTAAACACAGGAAGTTACTGCCTACATCAAAAATTTGACAGGTTCAAGGCTCAATCGTTCAAATTAATTAGAAACGATTCGTTCATGGCAAGTGAAGGACTTCACACTATTTCTATTTGCAATAATTATATCTCAAATACAAAGCTTAGTTTGGAATGTCTGTCCTGCGAAAACACATGCCCTATGTACCCCCACCCCATAAAACAGTAATTGCAAGATAGTAGCTCTTCCAATATGAATTTTATCTATTGTTCTTCAAGCCATTACATTGTATAACCAGAAAATACGTCACAATGTCAATAAAAATCTATAGATGGTGTTTAATAGGAGAAAGGGTTTATCTCGTAATATCTGTAATTTTGAAGCTATCCTGAACATCTACTTTCGCTTTCTTGCTAGATACATGTAAAATGGCTCTTAATTGCCATATCAAATATCCATAAAAAGTGCCACCCTCGTGGAGGAGAGTCTAACAAATAGATATGTGTATAATTGTAGAAAGATTATCTCAGTTTCAATTTTTCAGAAGTTATCATACGTCAGGCCAGTGCTTTTAAGAGACAACGTTTTCAACACCTTCTAAAATCACCCCTTACTGACTTAGCTGTCATTTTGAAGCCATGAAACATCGTCAATCGTCACTTTAAGATAATTAGTGTAAAGCAGCCTTTACCCATCATCCTCTCTGTAATCAATATGAAGATTGATAAGTAATTAAATTACGTTAATTATTCTATCTAACAAGATAATGTCAAGATATCCTCAACCTTGGATTTTAAACATCAACAAACCCATAAGTTCATCTAGGTACGTTTCTCCCCACTTTCACCCAGTTTACAGGATAATATTCCTCATCTTAAAATCGACCAGAAGATAGGTCATCTAGGTACGTTTCTCCCCACTTTCACCCAGTTTTTGTGATATTCCTCACTTTAACACCAACACAAGGATAAGTTCATCTCCGTACGTTTCTCCCAACTTTCACCTAGTTTTGACGATAATAATCCTCCTAACTTGTAAACACCTCAAGTGTTGTAGACGATTAAAATCTTAATTGATTAAACTTCAGGCTTAAATACTTCATTTTCAATCTTTCAATTTTTATAGTGGATTAGAATCACTTGACTGAATTTTTATTTCTGATTTCATCAATTGTGTAGAGATATTAATAATAATCAGTGATATACATGTACCAATTAGACATTAATAGTTGAACTCTCAAAATGGATTCTCTGTCTTCATTAGCCCACATGGTGCAGAAGAGTAGGACGTAAAACTCATTTCATTTCATTTCAATTTCATTTCATTTCATTTCAGTTGACCAACCAGGTAACAGAGTAACAAGTCCAAGTTGCCAGTGAGCACGTGTTAATGGTTGACACAAGCTATAAAATGTAATATAATATATCATGGTAAGATATTTTAACAGCATGTAGAGAGGATTAAAAATTAACACCCTTCAATACTAGAGAAGATTATAGTGATTTAAACTGGAATTTATCAATATCATCTTTACTTATAGTTTCTCGTATAACTTTCACAAACAAAATATAGAATTTAAAACATGAAGAGCATTCATTATATCATAGTACATTTACTGCTACCTAACACTGTATTGGATTTCTGGTTTTGTTTTGATTGTTGATACATGTTTTTTATTTATTCATTCCATCAGGAAATCAAATCTGTAAACTTTGATGTTAAGAGTTATATTAAATACGAACATTTTTCTATTGACATAATCTTAAATGAATAGGCAAATGTTAATGCCCTGGAAAAATTTCCCCTCATTCCATACTGCATGATGTTGCCTGTTCTCACTAGCCCAATCAGGTGCCAAACGAAAGGTTGTTAAAACTAAATTTCATTTTATTTTAGTTTCTAGTGACTGGTGCAATAATATCAACCACCAGTTCCAATGTGACACACCTAAAATATGTCTAGAATAAAACAGAAAGTTGACTTACCAAATACCACATTATAGGCCACTTGGGATCATTAAAATGTATATCTCTTTTGATTCTTTTCTTAGCTACTTGTTGTTCTAACCATTTTATCTGTAAAAGAAAACAGAAGTTCAGTAAATATTATTTTTTTATTTAAAATAGTCATATTAGAATAAGGATTATTAGAAAGCATAATATTTTACATTGAGAAATACCAGAGTTATGAGAAAATTGATCATATGAATTCTGGTGAAATTCTACCCTGGATTCTTATTGGCAAGCCATAGATTATGTAAGAAGGGAAAAAATAAAATGTATGCAATTTGAAAGGTCTTTTAAACCACTTGTAATTTTATTGTAAATCACTCTCAAGTTTAATGTGTACAATTATATTCAACAATTTATATTGACATCTGAGATCAAAACTGATGATGACAATATAAATTTGCATACAATAGAATTGTAAAATAAATTTAGAAGTTGTAGAGTAACATGTCTAGATGAATTTTGATGCCAGGAATTTGAATATTACAGACATCAGATCTATGTCACTTTTATTATCAGAAATTTGCATGCAACATGAAAGTTGTCTGTAGACTTGTAAATATTATTCATATAATGTCTATCAGTTTTATATCCACTGGTAAGATGTTTTTGTATTATTGACTTACATCTTCACAATGTCAGGGTATTATTAACTATGTCTAATACCTTGGTATCATTAACCACTTTTCTTGTATCACAGAGTTTTGTAAATGCAACGATTTTATTGGATTGTATGTTATTGAATGTAGCCAATCAGAGCCCTCAACAGAAAGGTTATAGACAGTATGCTCATGCAATCGAAGGCTCTGATTGACTTCAGCAATACAAGACAAGGTGGCTGTTGCAGTCAAGGTATAAGACATTGTTCATAATACCTTGACATTGTGAAGATGTTCTTGTCAGTGTCATGTCTTATAGTCTGGTGTTAAAAGCTTCTCACATTATACTATTCCAGTGCCGAAATTACTGTTCAAACTTTCTTATAGACTATCAGCTACTACTAGTGTCCGGAACTTTGATAGTAAATAATTTAGAAGTGTTAAGAATGGACGAGGTATGGTGTCCAGTGCGGTGTACGGAGTATAATCCATACAAATTAAAATAGAAGTAGTGAACACACAAGCTACGGGTCTGGATACGGTGCAGACACAATTCTTATCTTCTATTTTTAACTGTATCAATAATCCTGCACCATACACCTCACCGGACTCATCTATTTGTGGCTTAACAGATCCATTGTAACAACCAACACAAATTAACCCTCGCTCGTAGTCTCCCTGCGGAGTTAGGTATATCCATCATATTAAAGTCACAGATTTCAAACACTTATTTTTTTTGGTTGAATGTATGACAGATGATGAATCAAATTCATATCCTAGGATCCTCTCTGATACTGTTGTTTTTACCTGTCAAAATAGCTGACATATAGGGAAAAAAAGTTTCCAACAAGATGTCATCACAAGTGGGGAATTCTTAAAATTACTCACTGTCTGAGTCAAGCTTTACAGAACAGTATTTGGGAAGATCATTAGAGGGAATGTATCCATTTGTTCAGGAATATTTAGCTCAAGACTTAGGGGAATGGAGGTACATCATTCCTCCATGAAAAAAATTTGTAAAACTTTTGAATTTGATCTGCGTTAATTTAAGATGGAAGCGTGTAAATCATTATATTTCAAAGATGTTTTTTAAGATAATCTAACAGGCCTCCTGATGATTCCTGCACTTCAGTTTTCTTTTTGATTTTGAAGAGAGAATGTGTGAATTAGTTATTATCCAGTGCATGGCAATACAACAACCTTTTTAACGACATTAGCATAAGTCAGCACTGTTTGATTCTACAAACACAGATGCAGTTGAGATGAAAACCAGAAAGAAACAAGAAACTGGAGAAAGAAATCTACCACCCGTAGATAGTTAATACTGCAGGTCATATTTTGTTGTGAATAAATGAACAGAGTTCTCATTATCAAGTGCAATACTATAAAGATATGGTACAGATGGTTTTATATATTACTTAATAACATTGTTAGTTTTCTGTTTTGTATCATAATACTCTTTTTAATATTGAATATCATCTTCAAAAAAACTTAATTCAGTCTTCATCAGCCCAAACAGGTGCAGGACATAAAACTTTATTAGATGAACATCAAATTTGTCACAAGTCAAAATTTCACAGTGAAATTTTTTTTTTAAATGCAGCATATTTTATAGTAAAATTTTTTTAAAATAGGACCCCAAGACATTGAAGAGATCACTTGAGTTACGAATGGAGGTGGCAAGATGTGCGAAAATTTCATTGGCACTTTTTAAATACTAAATTGAATATGGTTATATGACTTTAGCTCAAGCATAACATTTGCATTGGTAATATTGCTTGAGTTCTGGTGTAACAATCGCTCTGCTGGTTATTGGTTAAATTGCTTAGGGTCTGGAACAAAATTTACTTTGGTCGGTTGTATTGCATGAGCTCTAGTTCAGCAACGCTCTGGCTGGTTAAATTGCTCAAGACCTTGTACATTTGCTTTGGTAGTATTGCTGAAGCTCTGACCATTTCACTTGGGACTTTGACTTATTTATTCTCACAATATTGTTACAGCTCTATGCAAATCCTCCAATATATACTTGCGGTATGTGTATCATATATACTTAAAAAAACACGTCCATGGATTTGAAAATATTGTATCCTGCTCCAATAAAAACCAAGTGCCAAACGGTTACTATTTCATTTCTACCAGTGTGTCTAGTACAAGGACTAAACCTACATGTCAATCAATACAACCTAAGTCGAAAGATCAATTCTGCAAGTTTTTTTTTCTACCAGAAAGTAAGATGTGAATGGGAGAGTAAATAATTATAGAAAAGTCTCCTCCAAACACCAATAAAACTGTCCATATAAAGATTGCCTAATGATACCAACTAATAACTTATATAAAAAATATTACCAGTGTCGATCAATATACTGTAGCTATCCAAATAAATGTCGGAAGAAACACTCATTATTTTTTCAAATTTTTTTTACGTATTTCTTGTATTATACAGTGATGCATTGATCTTAGGAAGTAAAATGGAAAATAAATGTCTGTACAAACACCTCTAATATTTTCTGATATTTTGACCGTATGTTATATATAAATTATATTGTTTTGCATAGATCTTAGGAAATGAAATAACATTCTATTTCTTGCACATGTTTGGGCTAATGTGGATGGATAACAGCATGCAGTGTGCTATGAGGGAAATTTAGCCAAGACAGCAACGTTAGCCTTTTGATTTTCTTACTGTCAAGGATGTAGGTGCACATAGGGCCTTGGTTTAATGTTCCATACAAGCAAATAGATGTGTTTTTCCATGTCAGCCCCACCCCCGTATCGTTGATGCAGGATGCAGGGAAATTGTAAAATTTTAGAAACACAAGTAAAAGAATTTCTGTCCATGAATATGGAATCAGCAGGTTTATCAGAGAAAGTATGGTTTATTGCCGGCAAATCAATATGTATACCGGTTGTAACAATCGTAACTTGCTATTTCCTCTCGCTCGATCAATGTAAACTGATTCTACACCAAGCCGAGTATTGGTCTATTGGCCTAAATCTTTCTCTTCTGCTCATTTGACGTGCTGACCCCTTGTGTTGCGGGAAGAAATACGACTACAATATAGATTATAATCTGACAATTTATTCAATATACTGGAAGAATTAATCAAGTCTAAATATCAATCTCCCAGTCTCTTTTATTATACCACATTATAACTGTTATAGTGGAAATATTCTAGTCTTCTGTGATGGTATTCGATAGTCATTATAATAGGCCGACATAATTCTAAACTCGTCGGTATATTTAATACTTTTACTCTTAGTGAACGTAACCTCACTTTTTGTTTTATACATAAGCCCTTTTGAAATCAGAAAATCGTAACAGCAGAAATATTATTCAGTACAGCTATATTGCTGTCCATATGGTCCAAATTTTGTCATTGATGTAGCTGCAATTGATGCAGGACCAATTTTACTGGAGACTCAAGGCTTGCAGAATGACTGGGGGAATCTTGTCTACCAGCAGAGTCATTGGTCTATTGATGTGTAATAAATATACCAAATAAACATGGTATGTGGACTCTACGAAAGGAATGCCAAGTGGAATCAATTGCTGCTACCTTATTCTGTGATCAAATGGACTGTAACCGTAGGAATGAATATAACAGACCTCAATTTACCTTGTTGTCAGCCATTTTGTTGTCAGTTAAGCCTATTATGGTATTTGAGAAAAAAAGATGAAAAGAAATAAAGGTGATTGTGTCAATTAGTAAGAAATTAGTGTTGATGTGAGGTGATTAGTCCAAATTATAGCCTGACATTGATTTCTACCAGCAAATATGGCCAGTGGCTGTCTGATGAAAAGGTCAAAAGCTAGTTACTGCCATCAAACCATTATAAAGGTAATAACGATGTAGCCAAGGATATACTCCATCCTCTAGGGAGGTTATTATCATTCTCAATCTCCGTAATTATTCACTGCATGCAAACTGAACATTAGTCTTGATAGACACCATTCTTCATTGCATCATTGTACAGAATATTGCGTTGGTCGAGCGCGATGTCGAACCAACGATGTTCTGTATGCTGGGATGCCGGGTTATTAAGATTCTACACATTGTAAAGACATCTAATCAATATTCTTCCATCTAGAATAAGACACAACTCCGCTTCATTTATACAGAAAGCACCCAAGAGTCTACTGGTTAGAATGAGTTATTTGCATCAATATGAGTGATTTGGTAGACTATATAGCTACTGTATTACTAGTATAACATCCTAGCCTGCTTGTCTTTCACTTCATTTATTTTACAATATCCTATATTTCCTTCAATTGTTTCACAGAATTCTGATGACCTGGAAAACTTTCCTGATTTAAAATTAATGACAAGACCAGGTGATAGCAGAAAGGGTAAGTCTTTTCTACCCATTGCATAACACCCAAGAAGGACAGCATCTCTGACTTTTGAGACAAGGTTCTTTAAGTACCAGACCATCATTGAACTTTCTTCTATAAGGATGACCATATAA